CACAAGTCTACAATTTTGCATCTAAATCAATGACAATTAAGTTAACACACATTCACCCTACCTGAAGATGAATAGGTTAATCTTAGACTTGGACATGGTGTTGTAGTCTCAAGCTAAATCAATGATAAGTTAACACACATTCACCCTACCTGAAGATGAATAGGTTAATCTTAGACTGGGACATGGTGTTGTAGTCTCAAGCTAAATCAATGACAAGTTAACACACATTCACCCTACCTGAGGATGAATAGGTGAATCTTAGACGGGGACATGATGTTGTAGTCTCAAGCTAAATCTATCAACACACATTCACCCTACCTGAAGATGAGTAGGTTAATCTTAGACTGGGACATGATGTTGTAGTCTCAAGCTAAATCTATCAACACACATTCACCCTACCTGAAGATGACCAAATTCATCTTAGACTTGGACATGGTGTTGTAGTCTTCCAGGCAGCGCTCCACAACCTTGTTGAAGTCGTCGAGGGACTTCACCTCCTCATAGACCTGGTCCTCCGGCTCGGCGTCCGGACGCATGTACGCGCCGAACATCAGACTCCTCATGCTGCTCTCGGTCACCTGTAGGTGGAGACACCGTCGTATGTTATGTCCATGCACGGGGGATTATGTAGCCAGACAATCAGAGAATGACAGAGATAGGGAAGCACATAGGTAGACCAACAGACGTGCTGGTAGGCAGTCGGGTATGCAGACAGACAGAAAAAAAGCAGTGCCGGCTGGCAGCTAAGATCATTGGCACGCTGGTAGGCGGTCAGATATGCAGACAGGGAGAAAGCCAGAAACTATGGAAGCCAGGCAAGTAGGCAGTAGCAAGACCACAGGTAGGCAGATAGACATGCAGAAGTGCAAGGAGGTTTATAGTAAATAGACAGCCAGGAAGACACTTATACTGGTAGGCAGATAGAAAGATACATTAACCAAACAGGCAAGAGAGAAGGGGGCAGGCAGCCAAACATGCAGACAGGAAGACAGATGGTGAGGTAGACCTGTAGTCATCTAGGAATGCAGGTATGAAGGTGGACAGTGACAGACACCATTAGGTAAGCAATGAGATAAGGAGGGAGCTATAGGAACAATCTTCTCAAGGACCGATAAACGCGACACATATACAATGCCATGTGTAATGAACAGCTGAAATTCCCTTACTTTACCATCTTCCTCTAAATGTTCGAAAAGCGTATCAAAGTTATCCTTGAATTCGTCTCTTACGCAAACTTTTGTCGTCCTAAAAAAACAAAAGCAATTTTCATCCATGCAAATTTCTACACTACTACAATTCTGGGTTATTATATGAAATGACAATTTTGTTTTGGGTTGTTTTGTTTTGACCTCTTGGAATAATGTCATCGTATTTCATAGTAGATTAGACATTTTTATTCTGAGAAAAAAAGATAAACTTCATACTGAAGTGACACTACTGTCCGATGTTTGAGCCTTAAACGCTGTCTATGTATTAACATTACTGGCGATTAATCCAAGCAACGAACATTACAATGATAGGGACGACAGACTGGTTGTTAAAACTGTCACGTCAGTGAAATCTCAAAGCCAGTTATCTTAACATGAACTCTTCTGGGATTCGAACCATCTCATTAGTATGTAGTTTCTGTGTGACGGTGTGTTTTCGGTGGATTAATTTTGTTAGTGGTTTCCACGGCGACGTATACTCACTCGAACAGCCACTGTCGGTCATCGTCGTCTACTAGGCGGTCAGAGAAGACACGGAACACCTCGTGTACCCACAGTCGCGTGAACACCTTCTTATTCTCCACCTGCAGATCAGCACATGCACAAATGTGTACATATATATATATATATATATATATATATATATTATATAGATAGATAGATAGATAGATATAGATAGATAAATAGATACATAACCTTATCCCTAACACTAACAGTTAGAGCATAAGCATATAACCCTAACCCTGACCCTAATCCAACGACAATAAGTGCCAAGGCCCTCCCATGCCAGCACACACTCTGCCCGTGGATTCGATCGCTCTCACACTCCGCTCACGCACGCGTACCTGGTCCTTCTTTATGAGCAGCGAGCCGTAGATGACGCGCGCAAAGTCTCGCAGGTTGAACGTGTAGTGCGACTTGGCGGGCGTCGGCAGCAGGTGCGCCATCGCCGACTTGTACATCTCCATCGTCGCCGACACCATGTGCGTGCCGATGGCAAAGTAGTCCGACGAGAACTCTTGTTGCTGTAAACACGGGTATATATACAAAAACATGTGCTTGCATGCTGTAATTTCGTCGACTGCGTTTACGAACGCCGGCGAAATTAGTGCGGCAGTAAAAAAACCTTTCAAAGTTGATATCGGCACGGGTCTAGTTGCGGCACACCTGATGCGCCAGTTATTGACACTACTGTACATATATATACACAAGCATAACCGGATGATCCATACATAGAAGCATGTGCTAACATCTCAATAAAGCAATTCACCTGTCTGCCTGTTCAATTAATCGCCCAAAATTGCTTTTACTTTAGCTGCGAATAAAAACTAAATACGTATAACATATAAATAATAGTATATAATATATAAATAGTAAAAAGTAAGAGGCACATCGTTGCAAACTACCTTTCGGCCTTCACCCGTTTGCACTACGGAACTTTCAAACACCAATCATGTATAGGAATCAATAAGGATTAGGGGAAAACCCACACCAGTACAACACGAGCCCACACGCCGGTCGCCCGTAACTCGACGACCCCCCCCCCCTACCGTCACACACGCTTCGGGGAAGCCCTCACCTTCGAGGAAGCCCTCACCTTCGGGGAAGCCCTCACCTTCGAGGAAGCCCTCACCTTCGAGGAAGCCCTTACCTTCGAGGAATCCCTCACCTTCGAGGAAACCCTCACCTTCGGGGAAACCCTCACCTTCGGGGAAGCCCTCACCTTCATGTAGAGGCTGACAATGGTCGAGAAGATGCGCGTCATCGTCTCCGTGTTGAACGGGTTGATCGTCACCAGGTTGAAGTGTCTCGTGAAGCGCTGGGTGACGGGGTTGCGGCCTCCGCCCGGCGGGCCCATCGCGCACAGAAACTGTATGTCGACGAGCGTGATCTTCGTCGTGTCCTTCTTGTCATACCTGCAGGACGGTGACGGGGGGCGGTAACCGCATGGGTGTCATCAACAACGAAAATTGGGGACTGGAAAAAACGGGTTCGGTGCGGGGTCGGGGGTGGGGGCCTACGGAGCTCTGGCTGACATTTCCTGATAAGCTAGAAAATCTACTACAATCTATATAATTTTTAACATAAAAACTTGGATAAATAGTTAAGATCTTTAGATGCAATTCACTTTTCTTTTTAATTTAATTTTTAATTTTAATTCAATTTAACAAATTATAAAAAAAATTCTACCATGCGGCTCTTTAGAAAAAGGAGCTCTGCCAGCTTCCGTTCCATGCGCCATGGATGTCCATTAATTTTTTTTTAATTTACACGTTAATTATTCGGGTTAATTTTTCGGAATAATGCGTCTGATGAAAAGACCTTGAAGAGGGTAATGCAGGGTTTTGGTTTCTCACCATATGCCGTGGTCAAAGTACTGGCGCAGCAGTTCTATCGGCGGCTGAGCGCCGTAGATTTCCCTCGCTGGCATGTTCAGGTCATCGACGAATATCACGGCCTTCCTTCCCATGGGCGGCCCGTAGAATCCCTTCCTCCTCTTGTCCAGCTTAGACATGATGATGTCCTGGATAAAGATCACAAATAGTGGCTACACATGATATACAGACACGAATGATGGTCAGATCAGTGAGGTGACATCAGGGCATATTATTTATTATTATTATTTATGATTTGAGACAAATCGCCACGATTCTTAGAATTTCAGATTTCGTGATAATGTACGAGAAAATTTATTTCAACAGGAATTTAATAAAAAAAATTTTATTCGCCCCTGATTTTATGATAAATTAATGTATTTAACCTGTAATATAACATGTGATGTAATCAAAATATATGGATTTATCATAAAATAATCCTTTTATAATATATATGTGTGTATAAATAATATATATATATATATATATATAATATTCACTTACTCTTACACAATAATTCTGACTTAATGACGCTATATCTACCATAATTCTTATAAGACAATGGTGAGAATGATCACGTGACAACTCCGTTATGTGACAGCTGAACTACTTAAACACTCACTTGGGTCTGGGCCGCACTCGTCTGAGCAGAGAAGTTGATGAAGGAAGGCTGATAAACGTCCTTGGACAAGCCATTCATCAGCTTATCCTGGATGTACACGCTCTTGCCTGTCCCAGTCGGGCCAACAAAAAGAATAGGCCTGCAGAAGGTAATGGTAATTGGGTATATAATGGAAATAAACAATCACAGAGATGGCATATATTATGAGACACATAAAGACAGGCATATATTACACGTCCAGACACACACGTACACTTTTCTTTACCAAAAGCACACATTATACGCAGGTAGAATATGTGCACATGTACACGTGCATGCACGCATACCAACAGCTGGAGCTAGAGTGGCTTCTGTGAAACAGTTGGTGCCATCTATTGGCTGAAAGGAGTACTACATGAGTGCATACTTGGGCTCGTAGGGTCTATGTCCCCCTGACCTCTGTTTGACCTGGCTCGTTTAGCTATTTCTGACTAAGAACCCCTAACTTTAACCATACAACCGTTATTCGGTATATATTATATATATATATATATTAGTCAGAAATAGCTAAACGAGCCAGGTCAAACAGAGGTCAGGGGGACATAGACCTTATCTGCCATACTTGGAGTGCTTGATGCATAGATCCATGAGGTAAGTGTAGCGAGCTGTGTCCATCGTTGGCACGATCACATCCCTGACGTTCTTGCCACTGACCTCAATATTCTTGATCAAGTCATTCCAGTGCTTCCAATTGCCTCTTGATTTATACTACAGGCATAAAACATTGATTTTATCAAGTTGTTGGCACTTAGCTAATAGTTATAACACTAAGTATTAAGATAAAAGTTTTAATTATGAACTTTAACTCATTCTGTTATATTAATTAAAACTCTATTGGGAAATGAAAGAGAAATCATATCAAAGGTAAAGTTGGCCCTTTCTCTGACTCATTAGAAGCAGAGTATCTGGCTTATAACTGTAAGGCAAGCATAGTCGCCCTCCTCATGTGAGGACTAGTGTGATTCCGCACCAACTACACAGTAATCTATATATATAAAGTTGTTGAGTTTGTGTGTACTCGTCTTATAACTAGAGAACTACGCAGCCTATCTGTTTATATAGAAGAAAATTATCTTAGCAGTCAACGGCGACCGATGTCCGAGGCCCAATTCCCCATCTAATACATATTTGTCAATGTGTGTCAGTTTGTCTGTTCTCGATACAAAACTATACGGAGCACTCTAGAAATGTCAAAGACGTTCAGTAGGGGTACATGTTCATGCTGAATGTCATGGGCACATTCGATTTGACCTCCGAGGTCATTAAAGCCAAAAAAAACGAGAAAAAACGATAAAATATACTGGCCCCTGCAGCAGCATTATATAAAGGCGCCCCTGCAGCAACACAAAATAAACGGGCCCCTTAAGCAGCACTAAATAAACGGGATTCCCTTTGCACTGACTTGCATTACTGTACAATGTGTGTTACATTGCGTTACTATACATGCATTATGTTACATCCGCCATGTCATGGTCGTAACAACATTCACCTTGCACTGACTTGATACAGAGTGTGCAAGACTATTTTCGATAGGTTAGTTAGATAGATAGATAGATAGATAGATAGATAGATAGATAGATAGATAGATAGATAGATAGATAGATAAATACATCGATAGATAGATAAATTGATTTATAGATTGATAGATAGATAGATAGATGGATGGATGGATGGATGGATGGATGGATGGATGGATAGATGGATAGATGGATGGATAGATGGATGGATGGATAGATGGATAGATGGATGGCTGGATCTATATCTAGATCGAGTAGATAGATAGTATAACTGAAGGATAGATAGATCTATTGTGTATTTGATAGGTTAGATAGATAGATAGATAGATAAATAGATTTATAGATTGATAGATAGATAGATAGATAGAATAGATAGATAGATATATTTTTGTGTATTTTGATAGGTTAGATAGATAGATAGATAGATAAATAGATTTATAGATCGATAGATAGATGGATGGATGGATAGATGGATAGATAGATGATAGATCGATTTTTGTGTATTTTTCTTTCAACCAAGTCTTCGTCATCCAAGCGCTTTATTTCCCGGGCAACGCCGGGTCTCCTAGCTGCTAGTTGATAAATAAATCTCTAGGTAAAATATTTCTTATTTCATTACAAAATGTGAAATGGCTATGAATGTTAATTATAGGCTCTGCATCTGTTTTTCTATCACACTTTTTTCCTTTATTGACTTAATAAAAAAAATGTTTAGCCACCACAAACTGTTTGTGGACCAAATAATTTCTTAGCCACCACAAACAGTTTGTGGACCCAAAAATTCCTTAGCCACCACAAACAGTTTGTGGACCCAAAAATTTCTTAGCCACCACAAACAGTTTGTGGATGGAAAAAATTCTTAGCCACCACAAACAGTTTATGGACAAAAAAATTTCTTAGCCACCACAAACAGTTTGTGGATTCTTAGCCACCACAAACAGTTTATGGACAAAAAAATTTCTTAGCCACCACTAACAGTTTGTGGACCAAAAAAAATCCCCAGCCACTCTGTCAGGGCGAGCCCACAATGTAGGGGTGGTCGGGTAGGGTATGGTTAGGGTTAGGGTTAGGGTTAGGGTTCAACCCTACCCTACCCAACCACCCCTACACTGTGGGCTCACCCTCACAGGCACTCTGTCAGGGCGAGCCCACAATGTAGGGTATGGTTAGGGTTGGGGTTGGGGTTGGGGTTGGGGTTAGGGTTAGGGTTCAACCCTACCCTACCCAACCACCCCTACACTGTGGGCTCACCCTCACAGAGTTCCTGGGGATTAGTCTTACCCTTCTTAGACACACAAAATTTCTTGGCCACCAGGGTTCAGTTTGTGGGCCGTAATTTGGCTTCTCGTTTACTTGTAACTGATATACGTGTGGGTGCACGGTTTGTTTGTGGTGGCTTAACATCTCTACACAGAATTATTTATGGGACTATGTAAAATTTCTTAACTGTTTGGCTAAGATTCCTTAAAATCATATAATCCATAGTGTACTGTAATGTATTGTACTGTGTAGGTATTGTTTTCCATTATTATTTATTGTTATTTTTAAAGTATTATCCCTAATCTCTAAAATGCCTCCTTCAAAAGCGCCATCTACCATCATTTTTATGAAAGAATTTTGGCAGCACTATGCCATTGTTTCAGTCATTAAAATATATAGATGCACTACTTGATCTGGTGTAATTTTTCGTGCAGGGGGATTGCGAATCCACGTTCTAGACTAACTAGTACATACATAATTAGATACATAACTAGATAGATAGATCGATCAATAGATAGATAGATGGATATATATCAAGAGCATATAAAGAAGGAGAGCGTACAACGGTAAAATGCTGAAACAATATTGCAGTATTAGTCGAATTAATAAACTTTTCCCGTGATAATGAGCGGTGAAAAATCTAGTAGTTTCGCCGAACACCGACTATAGATTAGTCAGTTACTGTGACCGTCTCTCGTGTGGGCGGAGTGTACGGCCCACACTGTGGCCAGTGTGTTGCTTCCGGTCGCCGCTGTGTAGCGCCATAGTGGCGCTGACTCACGTCATACTACCAGAGTTTACTATACATCCAGCGTGAGGTGGGCGTGAGGTGGGCACAGGTGGGGGTCATCACTATGGCAACCAATAACAGACCAATGACAGAATCATTGACGGAAACATGCGAGGTTTACCGAAGTTATAACACTTCGAGAGACAGTC